ATTGTGACAAAAAAAAAAAATGAGCATTCTTAAATGCCATAACTGTACGTGATAACTGGTCACGAGTTATATAACTGTTCGTACTTCTTCAGTAATTCGTTAAAAACGCTTCTCTTTTTCATTTTTTCATTTTATCGTTCGTACAAATACATAGAACAAACATTTATCTACAAAATGAGACGTTCTGTGAGTCTGAACAATTCTTAATAACCGCATTATAACAATTTTTCTGAATGCCCAAAAAAACAGTGAAAAATAACTGATCCATACCTAATCGTTGTCCGATTTCTTTTAAGTAAGAATTTTAAGTAAGAAGAACGGATCATATTCGCATATATAAGAGAAAATAGAACAAACAACTTTTATTATTAAATAAATTGAAAAAGCGTACGTACAAAACAAAAAAGAACCATAGTTATCATTTTAAAAATCATCTATAAGTGAGAGGACAATGACTCTCTATTACACTTATTTATAAAACAGAAAACAATGATGTGGACTAGAATTTATAAAATTATCCATCTCATTTTACAGATGTTTCGTTGCTAATTTTCGCGGAGCACATGTCAATTTTTTTCTTGAACATTTTGATTGTATGATTTTTTGTTCATCGTCTGAACTAATATCAACATAATTTTCATCATCGTTATTAGTATCTTGTTTTTCTACATCTTCTTCTTCAGATGAACTAGACGATGTTTCATCATCTATGTTAGCTGACTTATTAAAAAAATATTCAAATGAAAAATTATCTTTTTCTTCGACAGCTTCCAATTGTGATCGAATATTTTTAACATGTTGTACTATTTCAGCCAAAAATTCTTGTCCTTTTTTTTCAAATTTTAAATCGGTTACATAATTAAAAATTTCTTCTGGTGATAAAATTGTTGTATTTTCATCTCGATTATGTTTTCTAAAATAGGTGGAAACATTTGTACAATCACGAAGGAGATATTCATAGGCATGTGGATGATGTTGTTCAACAGATTGGGCAACATCAATCACCCAAATATTATTTTTAAACCATAATAAATTATATTCACTAAAATCAGCATGGATCAATTTACAATCATGATAAATACGTCGTAATAACTAAAATAAGAAAAAATAACATTAAATATAACAATACATCATAAACTTTTGTTCTATTAACAGACCTCTAAACATTGTTGATAAGCGATTAATAAATCTTGTTGATTTAATGTTATATCACGAAGTCGCTGGGCTGGAACACCATTTTCACCAATAAATGATAGTATAAGAACATGTTTTTTTAACAACACAGGACGTGGACACAAAATTCCAGCACGAAGTAAACATTGTAAATTGAACATTTCCTAAATAATCATTTATAAATAATAAAATATATTTTACAATTAAAAATCAACAACTCACTTTTTTCGCCCAAAGTTTAATAATTCTGCGTGGATTCCAATGTTTATATCCGTATTTGAAAGGATGATCGTGGCGTAGATATTTTTCTCGTGTGCGAAACTCATTCAATGTTGTTTTGAACACCTTGAAGAATATATATACGTATATATAGAGAGAGAAATATCATTTACACACAGACAAATTTACCTTTATGGCGCATTCTGGTGGCATATTATGTGCCTCTGTCTTTCCACCTTTACCATAGAGCACAATAGATTCTTTTCCTAGAGAAACATTGATAAAAGTTAATCACCGAATAAAAACTAGATACTTGAAAACTCACCGGTAGCTATAATTGAACCTAGTTCATCTAGTACACACGAATTCAACATTTTGTACAAGATAATACGCGTTTTGGGATCAAACGCCAAACTCTGAAAATAAAACATCGTATTACCACATTGAAGTTGAATCGGATATTTTCAACTTTTAGAGGCTATTGCCTGATTACTAGGCACTGTGTAGAGTTTTCAGAACAGGATAGAGACGATTTTTTTACTAATTTCGTCTTTTTTTTAGCAGCGAGTATCAGATGAAAATTTCTGCTTTGATCATCTTGAGTTTAAACTTCCTCAACATGAGCTAAAGTAATCGAAAATCCTGACTAAGGAAGTATTTTCTAGCTGTATTCATGCTTGTAATTGTATCCTGATATGCGAATGTAATGATAAATAAATTATCTCTTCTCTTAGACTGATTGTGATAATTTAACACTAAAACTTACGGCTGTTGCTTTTTCAACTTTGTCATGTAATCTTGTCATTCGTCTTTCTTCTGCTAGTGAATGAGTTTTTAACTCATTATAAATTTTATTTGATAATTGCAAGTTAACAGTGATCCCATCTCCAGTATCGAACTCAGGTGGAAAAGTCTAAAAACATACTCCGAAATGCAATTGACACGAAGAGTCAAATAATTTATCGTACACGTACATTCATTATTTTTGAAACATTTCGTTTTCCACAAATAACTGGATTATGTTTTGTTACCATAGATGCTCCTTTTCCAGATGTTCCTCGTTTATTAAACGATGGTACTTTTTCTTCTAAAAAAATAGACATAATGAATTTACTCAGATAAAGCATTTCTTCTCTTCACCAACCTATTTCATTATCACTAAATGCTTCTTCCTTCTCAATTATTACATCGTCTTCATCAATTTTACTATCGTTGTGTTGCGGGGATGAGAGAAGCATATAATTTTTCATTGATAATTTCACTATAAAAATGATATAATCATAGGGCTGCAGAAGGATTCGTTATTTATTATTCGCTATTACCTTTACTATTCTTATTCATTGTTGTTTCATATCGTTTAACCATATTATTAAATTCATCGTTATATTCTTTCTGAAGCATCAAAGCAACTAGATAATCATTATTCTCTGTTGGTAGATCAGATTGTTGCACGGATGGTGTGACTGTAGAATTATCCATAACCAATTCTTCATAAATGGGAGGAGATTCAGACAATGTGATTTCTGTTTCAACTGGCATGCTACGACTAAACAAGAGAAATAGTAAGAAAACTTCTTATCATCGAACACACACAAATCATTCATACTTAATTTCTAATGCTAATTTTCTATCTTCATCATTTTGTAATTGTTGAGCTAAGTCGCTATCCATCAACGATTGGAAAGATGAAGTATCATAAGGATTGTCTACTCTTTTCCAAGGTGACGTTGATATATTATTGTTAGATGATGGACTTTTTGCGGTAATATTCATCAAAGTGGATGTTGCAGGCATCATTATCGTTGGCGATTGTATATTGTCCTTCGGCATTTGACAAAAATCTGACTAGCACTAGAAAATAAAGACTAGAGATATATTTTCTATGGGATGAAAACAGTTATGGAAATATAGAGATCAGATCACAGTCCAGAAGAAACGTCCACCGTGAAATCTACTGAACACGTAAACGTAAAGGTCTAAAAAAACATTGAAAAATTAAAATTTTCTTCTAACCTACCATACTAGTAAACTTTTTTTAACTATCAGTACGACAAAATTGTCTATATATATATATTCAGTATAAAGGCAAATATTCTTTCGCAAGATATTTAACAAAAGAAAAAGAAAATGTGCGTATAGTCATGAATCAAGAAGAATTGCGAAATTTTTTTTGTTTTTCTGTTTTTTCTTCTATCCGAGGGGTTGAATGACTCATATAACCTTCGACATTTTTCTTAAAGACAAGAATAAAATAAAACATAACGCGAGCTACAAACACAAAATCCCAAAATCTTTGTCTTGCGCAATACAGATAACTAAAACAAAACTTACTTTTCATATTTTGATCATTTAAGTAACTACTGCACTTTAAAAAAGAAGTTTTCTTCAAGCTCAAAAACGATTTTAAAATTTGTCTCTATAGAAAACAACCGTTTAGTTTAACTTCGAGGCAGAACTTTTTAGTTTTCTTAAATCTGTGCTTCGTTTTCTCCAAAACGTCTGATAAAGTGTTTGTAAAAAAATATAATCTATTAGAGTTACAAAACTATCTCCAGAACTAAAAGGTCATTTGCTATAGAGACAAATTTTAAAATCGTTCTTGCATGTGGAAAAAACTTTTTTTTAGAGTGAAAGATTGCGTAGTACGTTGACGAAGGAACCTTTTCAGATGTCAACCGTCGATTTCAAGGATCTCTTACCTATAGATCCTTTATAGTGGCCTACCAAACATCCTAAAAGAATTTGGACCCCTATTGCTTCATTTAAAAGTTATGAATTTTTCTATTTTGCCGATACGGTGATTTAGAATAGACATTTAGGACTGCCACAGGAAAAATTTTTAGTCCTTCATACCGTGTTTTCAATGAGTTATGAATTTTTCGATGTTTTATGTAATACACTGCATCGGCAAAATAGAAAAATTCATAACTTTTGAATGAGGCAATAGGGACCCAAATCCTTTTAGGGTTTCTGTTAGGCCACTATATAGAATCTATGGGCAAGAGGTCCTTGAAATCGGAGGTTGGCATCTAAAAAAGATTCCCTCGTAACTGTTCTTCGTTAATATGATCACTTGTAACATTATAATAAACAACATGAAAATTTATCATCTCTGATCTTTTCTCTCAATTGTGAGATCAAACCGTATAGCTGCTTTCTCAGAAGCTTAATTAAGTGGTAAGGATAAGGATAAAACCAGCATCTTTTCTCCAAAGTATCTTTGGATCAAAATAATAAGATATTCATTTTACTTTCTCCTATTCAAGAGAACAAACTATAAGATTCTCGCATGTGCTAAAATCGCTTTATTTTTATATACAAATATACTACACAATAGTGGTGATGATCAGATTTAGAATCAAATAAAAACCAGAGACGAGTATTTTTGTATATAATACAAAAGAATACCATGGCACATCATACAACCAGAAATAATCGATTACTTAGACACAAAAAATTTTTTCAAAAGAGCTGATACTTTTTTTAAAAGTCATAAATGATTGTTACATACTTTTCAGACCTGGCTTTAGGAGTAGAAAAAGAAATTTTATCGAGAGAAAAGAAAAAATGGAACTTACCAATACTTAAAAAAAAGAAAAAAAAAAGATCGGGTAATACAATATCGAATACAGAAAGGAGGATGATATACAACACAGACACATGTAAAAAATGAAAGTTTAATTAGTAATCGATCATACATAATCATATTTGGTAAAGAAAAACAAGAGATCAGTATCGTCCATCATTGTTATACATAAATGAATAATCGATCGATGCTTCAGGCCAAAACTGTTGTTGTTCTTGCTGATTATTCCAATTTGTTGGATTATAAAAACCAGTACGAAGATTATAGGCTTTAGGTAATTGATAATTGTTTGAAGTTTTGTAAGAGTTCACTGATGAATTTTCATATAGTTCACTTTGTTGATAAGCATTATCTGAGCCTGCAAATGACAGACTAATGTAGGTGCATTTTAAGATGACCCCACACTGATCGTTCATAAAAAAAGTCTTTTAATTTCAAAAAACAGCAAACGATACTCATTTTATCTGTAAACTAAACGGTTTTAGATAACGCGCGACTGAAAGTGCTTAATCATCTTGTGCCAAAATTCTTGCTAGATAGAGCACTTCTCTTTAAAGATGATAACGAAATGACAACTCCTACAACTATCTCCGTCCGAGTACAGCATTCAAAACAGAATTCGATGAACTTCGGTGGCCAGTCTAATTAAAGGAAGCCAAATATGAGATTTTCAATCATATCTTCAGACAGAGTATCTGTAAAAGTCCCTCTCGCAAAACTTTCAAGGTCACCACAAACGATCTCCACAATGGTGTTTAGATTTTGTGATAATTTGCTTCCAAACCCACTGATTTACCTACCTCTTGAAATATCAATGTTGGATTGTTGTGAATATTGCTCATATGGATAATTTAAAAAATCTGAATTTGATGACGAGGAATCTTTATCAATAATCTCTGACTGAAGACATGAATAAGTTGGTATAAATAGTGGCTGTGGTTGACGTCGAGGTTGTGATGATGATGATGATGTAGTGCTCATACTGTCAGTTGACGAAATACTTAATGTCGATGGACTTGGTCCACGACTGGATAAAGATGAAACGTTGCGCGTAAATGATGTCAAATTTGGACTAGCTGTAGCTACTGTAATTACTTTCTGCTTATTTAATGGCAACAGATCATCGGTAATTGTGAGTAATTGTAAATTTTTTGAAACGTTTGAATCTTCTTCAGAGGACGAGGAAGATTGATCGTCTTCACCGTCACTTCCACCATATAATTCTTGATTATGTTTTGAATAAAGTACACAAGTTGTACCTTCCTCACCAAAACGAATAGTAACCTCTCCAGGATCTAAAAAAGGAAAAAGATCTTTTAAAATAAAAGTTATAAAATAGTTATAAAAACGTTCATTTTACCAATCCAAATTGTGAATTCTTTCGGAAAATTTTCTTGTACGTCATTCAAACAAAAATTGGATTTGTGAAAAATTTTCTGAAGTACAGTATCAATTCGATTATTCATTGATCGTATACATCTGTATGCTGTTCCTTTGTTAGGATGTTCTATAAACAATTTATATTCTTTAGAACATCAATAAGTTTCCTCTGCAGACATATTTTTACCTGGAAACCAATGACCCATAAATCGTTTTGATAAAACATCGTAAAATGTATGTTTAAATAAATCAATTTGTTTTACGGAAAATTTCATTTTACCATTTAATAGTTTTAGTAAATAATCGCCTGCCACGTCGATTTCTTTCGATGCAATTGAACTTCGAGTCATTTTTTGGCCTATATTCTAATATTTTTAACAAAAAACAGCAACAAAATTCGATCTAGAGTAAGTAAAGTTTAAAATAAATTTTATTTTTATTTATGAATACCAAAACTATCAGACTTATTTGAACTTCACGTCAATATACCAACCAATAAATATACATGACATTGTTAAAGGTCAAAATATTTTTGTTTTTTTTCATCAGCTGGTTCAATCAGAGAAAATCATTTTTTCTTCAGTCCACACATCTCATTTTTTTTTTTCGTTCTACTACAATTTTTTTCTCCATCATAAAAGTATTCTGTTTTATATACAGCTGTCATTTACTCGTCTTGATAGAACACATTTTGCTGAAAAGTATACAAGTTATAAAAGCATAATACTCAAAAGTGGCTGAAGAAATAATATGAAAGAGGAAAAAGAAGTAGAGAAAATAATTTTGCAGGAAATTTAAGCTTTCGATATAAACAAGAAATAGACATGTCAAAAAAAAAAGAACGAGAATGAAAAGTGCTGTTCTGGATAGATATATACGATTAATAGACAAAGTTGCATAGTGAAGCAAATATTGATCGTATACGTGCACAAAGAAATCAGATGATAAGATCATCGTAGTGAAAACAGTTAAATAAGTGTGGCACCTGTTTAAGAATCAATCTGATAATTGTAATTTGTTATCATAATAAAATTAGATACATGAAAAGTTCATATAAAAAATCTGAATGGCTTCAAGACCTGTGCCTCGTTATAGAAAACCATCCTTTTACCTCGCACAGTATAAAAATATATTGTTTTCAATTTTGTTTACTCTACTCTTCAGATTTTTCTTACTTAGCTTTTATTCACGGCGCGAGATACGTTACTTATTTCAAACGCAATTTCTCTACTACTCGGAAAACATGAAAGTAGGTAAACGCACACCGTTTTCCTCGCAATTTATCGAAAATACTGCAGATGTTGCTTACTCACACAAAATTTGTGTGGGAGACTACGCACTTACTTCATTACTGTCCGAACAAAAAAAAATACGAGAAATATGACAGCCTCAATTTTCATTCTCATTTTTATAATTAAAAAAAAAGATAAAAAAAACATACAAAAAAAAACTTCTTTTGCAAAAATAGAATGGAAGTAGGCGTTATCGTGAAAAAAAAAGAGAAGAAAGAAGTATTGTAGGCTACTGGTGGACTAAAAGTTATATAGAATGGTAAAAATACAAGAGAAAAAAAGAAGCACGATGGTATCTACTAGATCGAATTTTTTCTCTTAAAAGGTTCTTAAAAGTTAAATTTTTAATAGTTAATTATGATCCGACTAAATTATCTGAAGAGTTAGAGAATAATGACTTTTCTTAGACTGAAAACGAATGTGGTGAACAAAAACAGCGCGTTTCTTAAACGACAGTTCCTCTTCTTGATTCTTTATAAAAAGTTGTTAACATCGATCGTGACGTGATTAAGGTTTAATATTTTCACGCTAGATGCCAAAAAGAAATATCTCAGATGTCCTTTTTTTTAAAAATTATTGTTTCATTCCAATGTGACTGAGATCAGGTTTTAATTGGTGTCCTAGACTGTCGCCACTTCTCTGTCTGAATATGTCCGAAGGATGATGGGTTTGACACACAGTCATAACTTTCCTTATCTGAGCAACATATATGAGCATTAAGTTTTGAGACTCTTTCAGTCGATATGGAAGATCATCTGACATTTTAACCAGAGACATCTTTGAGGAAAAATCATCGCAGCTTTACCCTATCTTATTTTCTTTTATGCAGGAAAAGGTGCTTGCAACCATCATTTCAAGAACAGTAGCATTTAATGGAAAACGAATAATAGACTGCATTACACTGGAATCGTTCTCAATACAATCTTTATAATTAAACCACCATGCTTTTTTCAGTCAAAATATTTCTTATACACGAACACTTGACCAATTTCTGTATATTTTAATCGAACTCCGCATTAAATGAGCTCGGTAATTGTTTATGGTTCATTACACAAAATGCCCTTTCGCTTTACCCATTATACTGGAAAGAGACTTAGAATCTTATCTGTCTGACGACTTGTCCGAGTGACGGTACACTTTGCTGCTCAAGTTTTTGAAAAATTTTTTTTCGATATCAAAAGTTTTGAACACATGATTAGATGCGGTTTTTTATTCTAAGAACCCGTTTGAAACTCGTTTTTCAAAAAAGTTCATTTTTCATCCAAAAACCTGGTTTTGAACTTTTCAGAAACCGGATTTTTAATGTTTTAACCAAAAACTTTTTTAAAAAAAATTTCTAAAAATATGCTTTTGCAGAGAATTGAATTCTCTACAAAGTGGCGTATTTATTTTTGAGTTTACTTGCTATGTACCATTTGTACATAGTTGTACAGTTTTCGACTTGCTGTCCAGTTTTGATAGCTCTTATTTTGCTCTTATTTTGATACAGCAACTTGATTTTTGCGCAGATCGATCAAATATACAAAGAACAGAGGAAACTGTGAAAATTAAAACTTTACCATCGTGTTAAGTGCCTCTAATATGCTTGACAAAAAAGTGCGTAACGCCGTGACGAAAAACGTAACGCTGTGACGCTTATATTTTGTGTTTTTCAAGCAATACAAATCTAATAACCTAGGTGGAACATTTTTTTACCATTGGAAAGCCCGTGAGCTGCTGTACAGGGTCGGCTCAAGGACTGTTTCGTTTGGAGAACTACTTTCGCAGCGAATCAGGATTTTCGTAGCAGCACTCTTAAAAAAGGGTCTTTTTTCATAACGCTGTGACGCAACACTAAAATCCTTCTCAAAGCCCAATGCAACATCCAAAAAACGTCGTTTTCACAGTATAAGTAGAGCATGATGAATTACGTCGGTTGACGTTTGAACGAAATTTCTAGTTACTTTAGTTTCCGAGATAACTGAAATTTAGTGCGTCAAAAACGTAACGCCGTAATGTTTGGACAAGCCGTTGAATAGAATAATACAGGACGGAGTCTACCTAGTCACTGACGAAACAATGGCTAGAAAAATATCTGAGTTACCGATAAATTAATGAATATTCTGATTTAGTCACGTAAAACAGCTCGTTTCACTATTTTTGGACGACTTTTTCTCTTTCTCATTCCTTTTGCAGCGATACACTTCGATAACCCAATAACACTTTCAGACGAATGTACACGTAAATACACACTGGACCTAGTTACAGAGACACACGAACAAAATCAAGAAGGAACGACACGTCTGATCTTACTGAACCATACAAAAGCGTACTATTTGAATTCCAAGTCGAAATTGAATGTAACTGAATCCACAATGGAATCTATTTTTGGATACAATGATGGTACAACGCAAACTTGTTTCTCCTAAATGTCTAATCTCTTGTTTATTAATTTAATGTGTCCATTTATGGTCCCTTACATCAAAATCTTGTTCAATATCAATATGCAAAGCAAATGGTTGATTAACATTCGCCGAATTAATTCATAACACTATTAAAATGACCGCGCTCATTCGTATCTTTTCCCAGTTCATTTGTTAATGAGCATCGGGCACCATCCATACATTTAAGTCTAAAAATGATTTAAAAAAATACCCAGTTAGAAAACTATTTATAAACTAAGATGAGTGGCGCTTTCTTATAGAAATTAGGAGAAAGTAACAAAGATACAAGAGAAATGTTTAAAACAGCCCTTTTCAACGATAAATGAGCGAAGAGTTTGAAGAATACACAGATTAATCGCAATATTTATCTGTTTTTAGAACCTACAGTAGTAACTTCACTACAATCGTAAAAGTGCAATAGACAATGATGTTAAACTCATTTTTTTCTTTGTTTAAGCCCCAGTTCATATGAATATAAAAAAAAATCTGACCTATACCACTTTCTTGAACGCTGTAGGGAAAGAATTTTCGACGATAGATAAATACTTCAGCAAAAAAAAGAATCAAAAAGCAAAAAAAGACACGTAAAAGGTACAAAAGATTTGTCATTTTTCAGAGAAAACGAAATTTTAAATCGTAAACTCCTTTAAAAAGTGTTGAAGCATATCAAGATACACTTCTTTCATCGACGTTGTACCATAATGCTCAGACATATTAACATTTTTGTGCCTATTTATAAAACTAAGTGTATATAATATAATTAAAAAATACTTACTATACAGCTCACTCAACATTTTAAAAATCCTCAGAAAACTCTTTGATTTTTGAAAAGGCTTTCTAGAAATTTTCCAAGATAACAAAATATTTCTTAACACTCGTAAGTATACAATCAGGCTGAGTGAATAAAATAGACTGTATCTTGATATTCTGAAGTAGTTTTGTTATTTTTCAATGAGTTATGAATGGTTTTATGTACGGTGAAAAAGTCAAAAATGGTTATTTCACCTAATATAGATTTTCAGTAGGTTATAAAACTTTGGCGTTAAAACAAACAAAAAAAGATCGATGAGATAAGCCATATGCAGGTTGTTCAAGTAGTTTATCTTTCCAGGGATCAAAGTCCCCAAGCGTCAACCTAGTGCAGATGAAAATCTTTTCGAAACGCATAGAAACTAAGAAGCTCTCTGAGAATTCCATAGGAGTGCCGAACGTTAAATACAACACGTTTCCAACGTTTCATGCTGAAACCAACTCAGAAATATTGAGTTCCATAGATTCTATGAAGAATTCCAGACACTGTCTAACATATTCTGTTGTTAGATGGTGTCGATTGTTTTACATCGAGATGAATACCAGATTCAATATAAATTCCTAGAGCTTGCTGAAGGCTCTCTAAAAGTACATAAATCCAGTCTTATGAGATCATACCAGCTGGAAGATACCTGTGGAACATATCAATTTCCCAAAACCCTTCTCCAAAATTATTGGATTTTTTAATACGAGATCTACCAAAGTTAGTTAGGTAATGACCAGTGTACTCTCACGAATCAGCCTTGAATCTCTGCTAAAAATATTAGCAAAACACTCTGAAAAAAAGCTTATAGGCTTAAACTATTTTCAAATATCTAAGGCCGCGGAATAGCTTACTATCCGTAAGTTTTGTTGGACTCTACTACATAGAAATACATTCAACATTTTATTTTGCATCAGCCATATTGGTTTCTATACTTTTTTCTTTTATTCGGTAATGTTTTTACCGATTCTTCTTTTAGCTATTATGTTATTATTATCGGCCGAAGTGAACAATTCACTTATCATCATCATCACTCACTCATTTACTATTTTTTATTTATTCGCTCGTCGTTCAGCCAATAACAAAAGGTATTCAATAATGCATAGTTTGAATTATACTGAGCTGCTTGAGCAAAATTAGTAACTACTTTTTTAAACAATGACAACGCAAGAAGAAGATCCGTTTATAAAAAAATTCACCACATCATTGCTGAAGTTGATTGGCCGAAAGTTATCAGATAATATCGAAGAATGGTATCTGACGAAAAATTACATAAAAACAATTATGTTAAGAAAATTTGCATGAAAATATTGGGAACTTAATATCAATCTGTTCCAAAGAAAACAAATTTCGTTTTTTTTTGTTATGTTGTGAATAATTACTTTACAACATTTTTCATCAAAAATATCTTCTGAATGTCCTTGTATCGAACATATTTTGATATTGCTTCAAGCGACAGATTACAATTAAGGTGGAAGCCTTAGTAAAATTACAATAAGAAACGAAATCGGAAAGATTATCATCTTGGATGGATTTATCTTCTGTAATTACACAAGTAGCAAAGGAAGATGAGACGAATACAGCTCGCCCAGCGGCTCTGAATTGTCAAACACGAGGTTTGTTTTTAGGTCAACTCGTCCGCGTTTTGACGATCTCTAATTTTTGTTAAAGGATGAAATATAGAGCCTCTCCCAGTTTAGACTGAATTTTCTTCGCGTAAGCTGGAATCTTTCCTAAATAAGAGAACTCTGTATTGAACTATCTAGTTAAAAGAGTTCTAAGCATTAGACCTGGTACATTGGAATCTCAATCGCCTTTTTCTATTCGATGATGTAATTTTCATTTAGATTCGTTTTTAAATGAAAGTACAATAGACGAGTATGGATATGAAAAGAAATTTTTGACTTTGCTATCGGTTTTAGCTTAAAAAGCAGAATTCTTCAGGCTTGTCACATAGTCTTTCAACACATATATCAGCTGGACTCCGAAAATTCAAAAATGTAGTTTTCTGATTCGAAATCGTGACAGATCCTATGGACTCTATGGTAATCGGCCTACCCTGAGGCACCTAATGTGAAAAATCAAAAAATGATGATGAATTGGCCTACCAAAACGTCAATAGGTCAGAACTCTTTTAACTGTATAGTTCCATACAGAAGTCTATCATTTAATTCTTTTAGTGACTTAATTGGCAACTCTATATGTTTTATATCCCTTCAAAAAAATCTTTGCTCTTTTATGCCTTTATATTTCTGTTTAGCTCGTGAAGGCAAAAAGCGAAGACTTTTATCACTTCTTTTATGTTGTCTTGGCTATAAACGACATCAACCAAATGTTTATTTACCCACAAATGAAATTCCTGTTGATAATGAAGTAAGACAGACTACAACGAAAAGAATGTTGTACTATTTTTTTTTAAAAATCTATATATATTTTAGCGCCTAGCATTAAACCTTAATTTGAGTAATGAATTTGAGGTAACAAGCAAAACTGATGGGAGAAACTTTACACACATTATTTTTTTTGCTTTGTTTCCGAATAACATATAGAAGTCTCGTTTTCAACGTACTAATACTGGTTCTAACTCTAAAATAATAGACTATTCCGCCAGATGACGAATAATGATCCACTTTCAAAGTTTAACCATACGCTTTGTTCATAGTTTAGCAATCTTTGAGGTTACAGGAAAAGCATAAATAATAAAGAGCTAATTTTTCTTCGGGCTGATGTACTATTATATTTTTATTTCTTGCTGTGTGTGTGTCTGGTTTTTTTATATAAACTAATAAACTAATTCGTGACTTTGCCAATATGTCTCTGAGCGCACAATAGACATGTCAGGCAATCATCCGATCGGTGACAACTGGAATATTACTGTTCTCAGACAGCCGCTATTAGGTTACCCGAAAGAATTTTCATCTTCGGCAACTGGACTCTCTCTCCCTCCGATCTCTAACGGCATTTCAAATGTTATTCTGCATTGTCAGGGTTAATAACCTACATTGGCACAATTTCATGTGTCAACATCACTTATCTTAGAAGTAAACTTTTAAGATGAAAGAGTCGGTAAGTCGAAAGTATCTACGTTTTTTGTCAGACACTTCTAGTAAAAGAAATAACTCTTTAAAAAAGTTATTTACGAATATTCGATTCTGCTGTACAAAAATACGCAAATAATTAATTGTTCACTATGATGAGAAACAATCGCAATCATAACTGTAATATTAAACAAGACAAACATTTTTTTAACTTTTTCCACTGGACGCAACATTTACTGACGACGGCTGATCGGCTGACATGTCTAAACACAAATCATGTATTTAAAAGATTCTCAACTCCTTCATTGTTACTTACATTGTCACGAGCTGAAAATGATTCTGTTTCTTTTAGTCATCTGAAAAATATTTATTACCTGCTTTACGTGAAACGGAACGGATCAAAAATTGTCTCGTAATTGATCTCGATGAAACACTTGTTCATAGTTCATTCAAAGTATATAGAAAAAAAATCATGTGTATGTATGAAACCGTTTGTTTTATACTCTTTTTTTTTATTTCTAGCCTGTTCCCAATGCCGATTTTATTGTACCGGTGGAAATCGACGGCATTATTCATCAAGTATATATATTCATGAAATATTTCGTTTGAAATATAAAAAGTTTTATATAATTAATCTAGGTTTATGTAACAAAGCGACCACATGTTGATGAATTTCTTCAGCGTGTGGGAGAATTATACGAATGTATTTTATTCACAGCAAGTTTATCAAAGGTATTTCTCTTGTTTTATTGATTATATAAAGGTATAAAACTTTGACATTATTCTTGTTTAGTATGCTGATCCAGTTGCCAATTTACTTGATCCAAATAATATTTTTCGTGCTCGACTCTTTCGAGAGTCATGTACTTATTACAATTGCAATTACATAAAAGTAAGTTGATCTATAAATACATTTATTATTACTAGATCTTGATCTTTTTTCTTTAGGATCTTAGTCGTCTAGGACGTGAAATTCGTAAAGTTATTATTATTGATAATTCTCCTGTATCATATATATTTCATCAGGACAATGCTGTGCCTGTATCGAGCTGGTTCGATGATATGAATGATACCGAACTACTTACACTAATACCAATATTTGAACGTTTAGCGTTAGTTGATGACGTTATACCGGCACTTCAAGATCTTCATCGACGATGTTGAATATCTTCTTTTCTGCATGTATTTGTTTTCCCGCTTAGAATTAGACAAAATTTTGTTATTATTTCTTATTGTTGTTGGTTGTTTTCATCGGCCCGGTTAGAAACGAAAAAAGATCTCTATTTCTCTCCAGTAATTGTTTGTTGTGTATACAGTGCCGTTCGTCTTTCTCACTTTTTGTTTCTTTTTTTTTGTTGTTTTTCTTGCGCGATAGTAACGTGTTTCTATTTTAGTGTTTATTTTTTGATGTTTCTGCATTTCAGAGCACATAAAATATTGCGCATCTTTTTGTTTTTTTTATCAATATCAACTCGTATACTATGCAAATAAAATAAAAAATTTATAGAAAAATCCTATTTATCTTTTCATCATTCCTCCCTTCTCTCTTACTTTTTCGGGAATATTTATTTTCTCTTTATTTTTGTTTAAATTGAACGAATAAATAAAATGCATGTACACACACACATACAACAAATAATGATGTGTTACTGTTTTATTCATCGGTCAAATAACATTTTTTTTTCTTTTCTTTCAATGTACATAAAATATCTATTATTCTATGTAAATATGCGTAACTATTCTACACACATTTTAACGAGCTTTGCCTTAGATAAACTGTCCCTTGTTTTTTTTCTTCTTGTGAACAGTAGTTTATTTTTCTTTAATTACTAAGTTAAGTGTGGCGAAGAACAGTTTTCTTAGCATCCGTTACTTTGCCTGCAGAAGAGAATGTATGCAGATACTGGATACTTTACCAACGACAGTCTGTCTTCCCGATCGATTGTTTGTCCTACCTCTTTATAATTTCTTTCTTTTTGGTGCTATGTTTACGTGTGTTTGTTTTCTATTTATTTTCCTTTGCATAAATTAAATTGAATACACTTTTTTTTCTCGTCGTTGTTATTATTATTTTTTTTGTTGATAATTACAATTCTAGGTGTACATGCACACATTGTTTTTCTTTTATTCGCTGCTATTTGTGAAAACTATAACGAAATAAATAGGGAAATACATCGATAGGATGTTTTTTTGATTATTTCTCTATATCATTATTGTTGTTTACTTCTCATTGTTTACAAATACCATATTGAGCGCGTGTGATGATGTTTGTTTTCTTTGTTTTTGTTTGATTTTTTTTGAAATGGATTTTGTTCCTCTTTTTTATTGTCATACAAATAAAACACAATTACAAAGAAGATTAATTGTATCATTAAATAATTTGACTGGAAGAGTGCGTTAACTACTCTAAAGGGGGCAATTTTGATTGTCGTACTTCATACTTCTGTAATTTATTGCTGTTAACATGAATGTATTATGACAAAATGAATCTTTATCAATTAAGGAAACAACGAAAAGAGAAGAAGAAAAATTTTTCTTATTTGTTGTGCTCAACGTCTGTTATATGTAGGTAGGATTACTGGACGTATATGAGAACTAGACAATGTACAGCGAACAAGTTAAATATTTTTGAAGATTTGTATGCATATGAAAGATCATAAACAAGTGCGATTGTATGATTTTAATTAAGATGTTGAAGTTAATGAAAAGCCAGTTTTATGAAAACTAGGATTTTTAGGCTGTTTTCACCTAATATTAAAAAATTCACTATTCGCTTAATAAACATCAGAACGAGTTCAGAATGTAGAGTATTTAACACATTGCACGCTGTCCACTGATATATCAGTAGCCCAATTTGTTCTATTCAATGATGTCGTCAGCGGGCAATGGGTTAAGCTATTCTATATCCTGTTCATAGGAGATCTTTAAAAAATCCTAAGGTTTTCCAAAAGGATTTCTGGAAAATCTGTTAACAAAAATATGCTTTTCGATTTCTTCGATCTTATAATTACGTTTAGCGGACAACATTAATCATATGCTGAGATTTTGAACTCGATCTGATGTTTATTGAGCGAATAGTGAATTTTTTAATATTAGTTGAAAACAGCTCAAAAACCCGAATTTTCGTAAAACTGGCTTTTCGGTAGATTTTTAAAACTTTTTCTAAAAAAAATATTGCTACAAGACTCAGCATGGTCGATTATCCATAGTCCATCCGTCTTTAAGACTACCAAGAGTCACCGGGTACCAGTCCTAAGACTCGTCGGAAATCTGATACAACGCCCGAACCGCAGAAAACCAAGGTCCTACTTTACTCCCATTTTGAAGAGAACACCCCGGGCTACCAGCCCATGAAAAAAAATCAATAACTTCGGCAAACTCAAGCTAGTTTTCCAAAGACCCACTGAAAAACCGGCTTCGAAAATTTTATCGAAAATCAGTTTTGCTTATGAGAAGATAGTATCAAGTCTTGGCTATCGAATGGTGAAAAATTGCATCGCTCCAGTACTTTTCTTTGTTGCGATATTAAAAAAACAGTCACGTGCCAGCTTTTTTTTACGGACGGTAGTAACCAATTCCCGTTCAACAGGAACTGAACTAGTGACCAATTCTTAGGAACTGAAACTGTCCCATCCCTACTTTACTGTTTTCATCTGAATGCACAAAAATTAGTGACACCAAGTAATGGAACAACTGGTTACACTTGAGTAATGGTCTGAGCCCCTGCTGATGCACTAGTGTGTTTCTGATTATCCATTTCCTTTTTTTGTCGAAGTTTACATGAATTTTATATATTAATTTCTTAAGCAGGGCTGTTCCGATCTCTCCAGCTTCGGGGGGGAGGGGGGCAGTTATAGGTGTCATAGTACTACATTGTAGCTTATCTTAACTTTTTAATGCTTACTAGAAGTTCATTTCCATCAGTTCTTTAATAAAATTTGCTCGCGTTATTGGCGTTAAACGTTCATTCAATATGCCTTTTCCATCCGAATAATCATTCTGTTCTTGTTCAAATGTTTTGCAAATTTGTTTAATCCATTAATAAACTTTCTCTCTATATTTTGATAATCTTTTATCTATCAATGAACGTAATGTAATACACTTTGTTACTGTATCACCATCATCTGCATTATCAACAACTGATTCTAAAATATTACGTGCATATTGAACAAATTGTTGATAATTAGAAAGTTTAGAATAACACGCATGTTCTATGAACACTTTTAGACATAAATCTAATTAATGATGTGTAGCTGAATTAATGCACCAATTCATTCAAAAACTTGTCACTATTTAAATAAGATGATAAATAGAGATAATAGAATGATGATCATGTTCGTCTTAAAGTATAATTTGGTAGTTTATCACAAGCAATAAATAATGCATTAAATAAACACGTGTCGAATGTTTGCACTGATGCAGAGAGAAGTTGTTGTTGTTGTAGAGATAAAAATAAAATATATTAAAAGAGAAAAGAGTTTCCATCTGATACATAACTACATCTTGTTAATTTACCTTTAATGTATGTTCAAGCCATGTTAATGAAAAATTTTGCAAATAACCATTTTCTAAAAATTTGAATTGTTCACTGGTGATCGACATGTACGTTTCTTCCGATAAAAATAACGGAAAAAACCATGATCAGAGGTTTACTCGAGTAAGAGAGATTTCTTTACTGCTTTAATGATGTGTTCAAAATATTTTTTCGGACTTGAATTTTGTGTTTTGTCGATGGACAATACCGATGATATACCACTTGAAACTAAACGTTGCAATGAATTGTTACCACCACGAAAACCAACTATCAATAAAATTGATATTGATTTTATTTGTAAACTGAAAATAAAAGGTTGTTGACATGAAAAGGGTAAATAATTGAATCCAACATTGTGATTGTACTCATTTACCCAAGTAATGTAACAAAATTTTCAAATGTTGTTAAACTGATCGATTCAAATTCAGGAATAATGAATATTAAAGATCGCTTTTCGGTTTCATCAAGCTAAATGAAAACAAAAGTTGGCATATTGTTGAGAAACAGATATATCTTACTTGTCGATAGAATGCGATAAATTTACTAAATAAAAAAAATATAAATCGTCTTCATCGTCTGGATAATACTACAAGAAACAAGAAATGAAGGACAAAGAAGAAAATGGTCTTTTTTGTGAAAACTTCCTAGGACTTGTCCGTTTTCTGAAGGAAAAGGAAGTTTGAAGTATAAAGTTTATATACGAGGAATTTTTCTTGTGGCTTCCCGAGGATTTTTATCAGTCAGTAGCAGTAAACTTTCGGGGTGAAATTGTGATTGACCAAACTTCAATATAAATTTGGTGTTTACAGCTACTGAATGGACTAGTAACAGACTACATCTAATGTTTTTAGGCACAAGTTTTAAAAATTATTACGATATGTTATTACTATGTTAAATATGTTCTATGTTATAATCCAACAGTTCAGTAGGAAGTTTCCACATTTTTGCTTCGTGGAAGCAACGCTGACAAGCTTTATCTAATTACCTCATTCAAAGCATATTTTGTTGTGGTCAAAATTTTACCCACTGAAGAACAATCTGCTTCATTTAACGTGATCAATACACTATTGAACTCTAAACGTATTTGATCATTCAGTTTATAGAATAATTGGATATGATCAGATATATTTGTGCCTAAATAAAGCGAAATTATCATACATGTGATCTATGTATTTCAAAGTTAAAAAACTTACGCATTACTAAAGTTGCAGTGGAAATGTGTTCAAAACATTTATGATTTTGACGAATAAAATCAATGACATTATCAATTAGGCGACCATGTAATTTGGATTTGATTGACATCGAGGTGAATTTCTGCGACGCAGTTATTAGGTCATATAGACTTGTGGAACGTCTTATTTTGTAGAGAAAGACTTACTCTATGTTTACACGAAACGTCAAAATTAAAGCATGAAACTTTGAAGCGAATTACTGAAGGTGGACGAATAGTTATATAACTAGTGACTATTTATCGTGTAGGTCAATGGCATTTCATAATGCTCATCTTTTGTCACAATTACCTTTGTTTCAACAAATACATAAACGTTTTTCTACAAAATACGACGTTTCACAGGTATGGGTGATTCTAAATAATAACTGTGTTATAACAGATATCAGTCACACAAAGGTCGTTTATTCGTCGTAAAACAGATCAGCAGGATGCAACTATGCTAAAATTAATAGTTGTTTCTAGAGAACATTTTCGAGATAATCAAATACATCTTGTAAGATATTCATTAGTTATGTCTTCTGATAACTTCCCTAAAAAGACTTCCCCTTTTTTAGAAGTTGTTTCGTCGTTTCTGGCGTTTTGTTCAAGCTTATAAAAATGGCCAATCATATGCTGAAGTTTTGAAAATGTTTTTCATTAATTTACGTGAAGGAATAGTCAAAAGCCACAGTCGTATCAGTAACGCAAATTCGATGTTTAATCAACAGTTATATGATTTTATCTTAGTGTTCGGACTTATACTCAACCGTACGATTCGTTGACGTATCTGTTGATGTGTCTGTTGACGTGTCTTCGTTGACGTGTTTTGTATTTAGATGGGAATTTCTGTTGTCATGTGTTTTATCAAGTGTGAATATTTAGATCCTGTAAGCTGATTTGAAGCAAAAATGAGAGAATTAGAAAAAGTGTTTTGTGCCGTTTCGACACCTATTTTTTCGAAATTGACATTTCTCAACGAAGAAACGAAATTTTAAAAGCTCTCTTTTAAGTTGTAGCTTATCGTTTGGCGATTCTAACTATATATAATATTTGGGGTTAACACCTACCCTGAAATTGAAATTAAGCTCGCAAAGTGAAGGTGTTAGGTTGACTATGCACTTGTTTCGTAATCGTTCAAAACTTTGGCTTACCTCAAAAAACTTCGCAACAGTTTTTCTGAATCAGTTTTCGACGGGCAATTTAATGGAAAAAAATTCAGCGCTCTATCTCTTTTCAGAAAAAAGTTATGGGTGTTTTTCTCAAAGCGGACGTTTTTTTGATTTTTGCGACTTACTCAGGATTCTGCACTTTTCTCCTAGAAGAACGCACTTTCGAGGACTAAAAAGGCGATATTCGTGATCAGCTCGGTCTGACGAATCAGAATATGTGTAAAAAAGTAGAAAATTAAACTTCACTTGATCTTTGAATTATGTGCACCTTACTCTGTTTTTCACTTCGAAAATGAAGACCACTTTACAGACCACTTGAGTTTTTCAAATTTATGTTTCGCGTTTTTCTGATCAGGACTAATTTCGCCATGGTGATTAATCTTATTAGCTTAATTCCTTTTATCACACAGAGGTACAACTGTCTGTTTCTCTCACTTTTCGTGAATAAACAGTCTTAGTCTTAGAGGTACAACTGTCTCTTTGTCCGACTGTCAGACAAACGAATTGGTTTATGGTAGTTTTAAGCAAATACTAGAATGTCGCTTTACTTAATAAATTGCATAACGGCCATTTTCCTTTGTATCAGATAAAAACATTTAGCCATAAAAAGTCATTAGCCGTTATCAATAATATCTATAACGACGATTTTTACTTTCTTCTTCATCGTTGTTGTTTTGCGTTAGTTTATGAACTACGCTGAAGAAATTAAAGAAAAGTTCTTTTTATCGCTTTTCCTACGAGGAAATTCAAGACTGGACCTAGCTGACGCCAAGATCGCCGAAGAGGTCTAAATTTTTATTTAGAATTTATCTCTATTTTTATTAGAAGGTCAAAACTAGATCTAGCTGTCGCCGACACTGTCTGAAAGAACTAAATGATAGCCATGTGAGTTGTTCTTCCAATACAGAAAAAAAAGTTGCTTTCAACATCACGAGCTTTTCAACCTGGAAGTTGTCAGTCAAATCTGTAATTTTTCACGCACTTTAATCCATATTTTCACGGAAAAATTACAGGTTTGACTGACAACTTCCAGGTTGAAAAGCTCGTGATTACATACTTCACGGACTTCACTCAATGATCGACGAACTTTTGTATGTGGTTCAGAGAAAAGTAGGTAAACAAACCACGGACGTTTCGTTTTTCAAATTTACAGTGATCGTATGTTTTTCCTGTTGATTGCTGCATTTTTTTTTGCTATATTTTGCGGAAAGGTGGTGAGCATTACAAGATACTGCAT